GTAGTGGTAGTGGTAGTGGTAGTGGTAGTGGTAGTGGTAGTGGTAGTGGTAGTGGTAGTGGTAGTGGTAGTGGTAGTGGCAGTGGTGGTAGTAGTAGTAGCCGCAGCAGCAGCAGGTTATCTAACTTCCACAGCTCATCTAACTTCTGAGTCACTGCCACCAGCTGTTCAGGAAGCAAATGAACATTCATACAAAAGTACATATATAATCTTTCGCCAGATCTTTCGCAAAAAAAATACTTTCGCCAACTCGAGAAAAACTTTCGCCAAATGAGATTTGATATGTTCCGGGTCATCGTCATACACAATGCTGTCTAGGACCTTTAGATCGACAACCACACATGTCACGTACGTTTACATGTTTTATAAGGTTCAGTGGGATCATAAAAGTCTATTAAAGCCTATCAATATCTAGCAATTATATAGTATCATGATGTATCATGTACAATGTACATCATCAATCATCATCATACATCTCAACCAGTCCTCCAAATCTTTGACTTTGCCACCTGAAAGAAGTTGGTCTGCAAACACAACTGCCACAACTGCCCCAAACGAAAAATCACTGTTTGGGTCAGTGATTCTGCCGGTGAGTTATGGCACCAGATACCAAGAGACCAAACGGGCTTTGTCCCTACCGACGTACAAAAAGCTCCTTCGCGACTACATGGTGGACCACTGTGTTGTTGGTGGGTCACCCATCCAACGGTCTGATCTGCAGCTTTCAGCAACAGTCGTAGTGATGTCCCAGTATGTCGAAACCCAATTCCTGACCGTGTCGTCGACGACGAGCCGCTTTTTAAGGCGGGAGGCCCGACAAAGGCCGCTGCCGAAGGCTGGTCTTGAAACAGGCGAAGGTGGTCTGTTGTGGTGTCATTATACGGTACTCCAATGCTCTTTAAATACCCCTAAAGGTGTCCAAAAGAAAAATCAGTGCAAGAAACCACAGTTTTTGTTTGAACAACTCATGACTGGGAGTCCCATGAAAAACCTGTCCTCAAAAAGCATGCGGCGGTGCTTTTCGGAACACCGTTGGCTGGGACCAAACACCACAGTCACCACGGTTGGCTGAACGGTAGACACAAAGATCGGAGGCATGAGCGGACAGGTTTGGACTCGGTTAGTGGTAGCATCTGGGCCTATGTCCAACACAAACTTGCAGGTCCACTTGCAGGTACTTTGGAGGCCTTTTTCTAATTGAAACCACCCTACAGTACTGTGCCAAAAAGAACTACTAAGTAAATTACCTGCAAGTGTTCCCCATCAGTCCTAGGGTACTTCCTAGTGTAAGCAGGACTCTGTCCACTTGAATGTTGGTGGCCAAGCAGGTCAACCTTTTCGATCACTTCGCAAGTCTTTGCAAACATACGACGAACGACATATCCAGCAGTTCACGAAGACTCAGGGTATCCACTAGATCCACTCCACAACAAAAGAAATTCGGCATTCAATTGCATCATTAGCACTCGACAGAATATATAGATAGTGAATGACTGTGACATAGTATGAGAACATACGTAAGAAAAACGACACATAACACATAAACATCGAACACACACACACACCAAAAACGAACACACAAATCACTTCCGACCCTTCCCTTCAGACCGCGATTCCGGTGGCTTGGGCTGTCTCTGCCGCTCCACATACTTCGCGTAGAGAATGCCCTCTGAGACCAGGTGGAAGACCCTGACCGCACCGGCGTGCACGTGAAACGCATGCCAACGGCGACATCAACACCATCCAGTACTATGAACTGGTAAGAGGCAACATAGTAGTTGTGAGAAACAAACATATGTCTGCAACACACAAATTTGTCACAAAAAGTATCTTGAGGAACAGGCCCTGTGTCATGCTCTTTCTCTTTTCCAAACCCCAAAGTCTGTGTGGTGTTTCTTGTCACGGCTATTTTTTTTAACGATAAGAACTCGGAAGGGGTAGGAGCGGTTTTCTGCACCTATGTAAAAGTGAAACATTCAGATCAAAGTCTAGCCCTGACTTGTATGGACGCCTTAGTGGCATCTGCATGGCCAACTGGTTTGACACTCAATGCTAGGATGACCTTCAACCTTTTTGGTTGACACATGGACACTGGGTACCCAGAAAAGGAAGACGAGCACCAGCCAACGTATACATCTTTCTGCATCTGTTTGGTCGGCACATGGTTGATGCATGGCAGCATGGTCACCGATCTCCGCGATGGTTTTCCTCATGTCCGTGATCAGCATGGCGCTTTTCCGAGGTCAACAGGCTGATTGAACCATTTTCTCGCGCGAACCGCTCACCGCCACCGTGCTTCTCCACAGCCAAGCGCTCAGTTCTGCTCAGCCAAGCGCTGGCTCCCCCAAACGAAAGATGCATGAGAAGGCATGCTTATAACAAAATAAAGCTTGGGGCATCACGATACAACCAGCGCTCTTTGTAGCAAGGGTTGATGCGGCCTTGAATGCCTTGAGCCGTTCATTCTGTGCAGAAAAGTCGAGATGCTTCTGACATTCCTCAGTCGTCACTTGGGCTTGCTATGAAAGCGTCGCTGAAAGCGGCTTTCTGAAAGAAATAACGCCGTAGATAGCTGAATATCCAAATGCCTTTCTGAAAGGACCGCCAAACGCTCAGCCAAACGTTGGTAGCTAAATGAAAGGATGCGAGGATATTTGCCGATGAGGGCAGCAGCTTCTGATTGACCAAGAGCGCTCGCCAGCAATGCTTGCTTTGGCTTCAACTGCTGCTCGATTCTATAGCCAAGGATCAAGGGGAAAGTGGCCAGTATATTCACCACTTGATCTTGGCCAAGCCCAATATCCAAAAGCCACTGCCTTGCAGGCTTGAAATTCTTCTCGATGCCAAAACCCAAGGCCCATGAAAAGGTGGCCACTACCTTTGCAACTTGAGCCTTGTTGAGTCCACTGTCCACAAACCATTGAACAGTGGGTTTTAAGTTCCGCTCCAGGTTGTAGGAAAGAATTGGCGGAAACGTTGCAATTGCTTTAGCAACTTGATCCCTGCTGAGACCAATACTCAAAAGCCAGTGAACTGTCGGCCTCAAGGCCTCCTCAATGCTGCTATTGAGGACTTGAGGATAGCCAGCTACTGCCTTCACAGCTTGGGAATTGCTCAGCCCTATGTCCAAGAGCCACTTTGCCGTCGGATTCAAGCTCTCCTCAACACTGTAAGCAAGGATAGATGGAGACTTGATGATTGCCTTTGTAACTTGAGCATGAGAGAGCCCAAAATCCAAGAGCCATTGTGTCGTACTTTGCAAGGTGATTTCCATGGATGTTGTCTTCAAGGAAGCACGCCCCTGAAGAAGTTTAGCCTCTTCAGGGCTAAACCCTTGCGCTTCCAACCTTTGCAACATCTCGCTGTGCACGGGCCTCTGTACCACGGCAGCCACTGGCACCGTGCCCAAGCCACCATGCGACACCGACGCTGTGCCGATGTGCGACAGCACCTGGAGGAACCCCAGCACCGTCAGCCGAAACGGCCAGCTCCGGCGAGACATGGAGCACGCCCTGGGCCCGCCGAACATGTGTTTGACGTGTTTCCCCGGTTGGGGGTTGTGACATCAACATGCAGCTGCCCGTAGATGCCCGCATTGATGCCCGCATTGATGCATAAGGATCCTCCACCAAAGAATGAAACCTCAAATCTAGGAACCCGGTGCTCTGCGTTTCAGGCGAAGAACATTCATTTCATTGTCCTTCAATGATCCTTGACCTGCAAAACAGCATCAAATGGAGCCAAATCAGTTGCGATCCAACGAAATAACAAAGATCGGAACATCAACACATGCCACATGTGTGTGTGTGTGTGTGGCAAACATGCATCCTCAAGACAACCAAGTATGGCAAATGTGCCGCAAGTATATCCAACAATGTTTAAACACACCAAAAAAGAAACATGTTAACTGATCAATGCTGATCATGAGTCACCAAAATGCCAAAGCATTCAAAACCATCCAACAAACAGTTCGAAGGCAACTCTGACATATCTGAGCAAACAAGCAAAGGCAAAGAACCATGAACGCTTGTAGTCAGCCGACCATCAGTACCACAGGGCACTCGGGAGAGGAGTAAAGAATGGCCAGGCCGCCAGGCCGCCAGGGCCGCCAGGGCCACTGGTATACTTTCTGAAGTCATCATGGAAGTGGAAAATAGGGCCCCTGGAACTGCTCTCTAGAAACGGGTGGCCTCCTTTCCACTTCCAAATGTGATATAGTATCACTTGCTGGTTGACCTTTGGAATCACAAGTTGGTGAATCTGAAGCTCCGACAAGCAACTTGGCCCTTGCCTGTCCTTAGATCTTCTGCTATGGGCTATGGGCTTAACCTTTGGGGTTTAGTAGTAAATCCCTTATGAACCAAAGGGGCTATTGGTCCAAGAGCGCTTCTTAGGTTTCCCCAAGCATGATCAGCATGCTATGTATCTCTCCAATATCTCAAGCCTGGTTTCTTGAAGACTCTTTTTCTGCCCTGCTTGCCTTTCTGAAGGTGAACTTCCACGTGAACTCGCGCTGCAAAGTTCAAACGGATGAAACACACACGTGTTCATCTTCACATTGTTCTTGTTCGAAAACATGTTTATAGATTGAAATGCATATGAAATTAAAACTATCAACATTTCTTGAACAAACACATGTGCCAGCATAAGAAGATGTCATTAATAATGCATGATCTAACCAACAAACCACCCACTCTCATTCGTGCACCACCCACCTTCACCCACCTTCACCCACCGGCACCGCAAGCGAAAGCGCTCGTGACGCCCCAAACTCATCGCCAAAGCTCTCGGGCCTCATGAAGGGTAAGGAGCACCAAAGGCCCAGCCCGGCGCCCACCAGGTGAATGGGCATCTTGCTTTGGCTCACATAGTGTGGCGACGACGCCTGCGGTGCACGGCACGAGCGGTGGACGGTCGAGCAAGCTGGGGGCGCCCTGGGGACAGACACAGACTGCTAGTAGGCGGAGAATCCATCAGGAATAATATAGACTGATCAATAACCCAAGCTTGAAGAGGATGTCCAATTCGGGGTTATTCATCAAGAGTCTACTTTCTCTGCCGTTGGGGTGATTTCAGTCGTCAATGTATAACGTAAATTGATTGATCTATTCCAGCCCCATGGATGGTTGGGATTAAGTACTAGCCAGCTAACACCCTGTCTTCAGACAGAGTGCCTTTTCCATGGAGGAGTGTCTTCCGTTTGTTTCGGGTGTTGGAGATATGTCAAGGTCATTCAGCAAAACCCAAAGAAGAAACCACGAGTGCTCAAACCAAGACAGCTGTTCGATCCTTTCGTCCAGTTGCGTAAGAGGAACTGAGTCTATCTCCTTCTTGAGGAACTCGCAAATGATCCGAATTAGAATGAATTAGAACTAGCAGCAGCAACTGCTTACGAAACGTCCCTGAAGCTCCAAACGGCTCTCAGTTGAATGAGGAATATGCACACCTGAATCGCTCCCTCCTAACCACCAGCTAAAGATTGCCTTCGCTTGGCTCCGGTCGTGCTTGATCCGTTCTTCCTCTTCCAGGTGTCGTTTTCCCCTGTCCACCCGACAAACGAAGCCCAACTTGAAGCTTGGATTTGCTTCAGGAAGCCAGAAAACATCAAATATCTTTCCCAGAAGGGATTTCACCATGGGGAACATAACACTCATCCAGTCAAACACGCCGAAAAGGCAAAGCATCAACCGGCTCGTCTTTGCACACCCCGCTCGCGTCCTGGCATTTTGTGCCTCGCCTCTTTGTACTCTGGGCTTTGCAGCACTAGCATCGTGGTCAAATACCCCAGAGCTCCCGCCAGAGCGAAGCCAGCCAGCTGGAAAAAGCGGATCTGATCACATCGCTCGGATGAGGATGTCGGGGGCATGGATAGGTCAGATAGGTGCGCACGGACTAGTACACTCTGAGGAAGACTAACACGGTTCCGTGGAAGCTCGTGGCATTTGGATCATTTCTCTTCTAAATGATGTGAGCCTCACCTCACCAAATCCTTGAGGTTCGTCCTGGCAAGTCTCTGGTCCGTCGTCAGCAAACGACCACCTCCTTTCGGCCACATCCTTTCATGAACTCATTCAGCTAAGTAGCGACCAGAGTGGACCAACTGCCCCAATTTCGGGGGGCCGAAAGAGGGAACAAGCAAAACATGTATACCATGGCCATGTCACCACCTTTCAGTGCTTACGCGAGCCCCCCAAAGTCCACAAACAAACCACATGAAGCACCCTTGAACAGGAACAAACCTTCCCCTCCTCAAAGGGATGCTTCACCAAAGCATGCTGAGGCATTCCAACAAAAGAACACCTCACGACCCCAAGAGGTTCACAGTACGGTCAAGCTTCGGCCCGTTCTCCGTTTGCGACGCGACGGGATCCGGGGTGGATTCCTGGATCTCAATGAATGATGGAGACTCTTGATTTGTTGAAACTCCCCAGAGGCAGAGGTATTACATGGTGAGTCAGCCAGAACTGACCTGTGAGTCAGCAGTGACGCAGTCTGACAACCCGCATCATCGTGGACGGGAAAGCGAGAATGATAGAGGAGACTGTTACCATCCAAATGTTTATTCAAATATATAATTCTATAACTCATATAATTAAGCGGCAATCACAGCCGACGTTGTTCTTCAACAACCGACGTTGTCATGGCTCATATAGTAATATAGTATAGGTATGCACCTGGTCAAATGGACCGAACTCGGTCCTCGCACCGAAGCACCCCCTCACTGTTTCGGCACTCCGAAATCGGCACGACGTCCGGACCCGCGTGGACGACCGCACGGCCGGCCTGCGTGGAGAGGACCCGAACCTCCGCGCTGAGATTGTTCTTCTTCAGATGATTGGAGGCCTGGCGACCGCGCGCGGTGGGCGCGCGGTCGTTCGGTGCCCGGTGCGAAGGCGTGCGAAGGCGTGCAAGCGCCTCAGCGTGTGGACCAATGAGGTGCTGAAATCATGGCATGGGAGGTGGGGATGATCAGTTGATTAAGAGAATTTAATCTAACTTACTAAAGGATACTACAGTAAAGGGGGTTATATTATATGTGTGCACGCCTCAATGTTGCTTCTTGAACATGCAGCTGTTTCATCCTGGTCCTCTTGTCTTAAGATGTCTTAAGGGAAGAGCCTTTCAGAATCCCTAGTGTGGATCAAGAAGCATCGCATCTCTAAACTGCCAGTAAGTTCAGCCCCAAAAACTCTGCACTTCGGCAGTTCACGTCGCATAATGTTCTTGAAAACGGCATGCCGCTTGACCAGCGAGGGATATCTGTACAATCTTGAGTAGCAGTTCGGTCCCCTCGCCGAAGAACAGTTTGCCAAGAACAGGCACATGAATTTTCATTGTTTGGTTTGTAACTAGTCTTCACAGGCTTGCACCATGAAGAACCTCTAGTTGCAGCATACGCTTTAGGTTGGATTGGATTCCAGTGTTACTCAGGAGACTGGGAGAACCTCTGCCTAACCTCATGATCCTCGTGCATCAGTGGTAGAGTAAATCATGTAAATCCTAAATTGTTTTGCTAGCCATGTCAATACATTATCTGTACACTCGTCGTGTTAAGCCAAATATTCAGAGCAAATCCCACACAGGGATGGCTCGTTGGCATACCTCATACTCATACCTTCTACTTTTCTCTTGCCGAAAAAAGGGTCATGAAAAGGTCTGTTTGTTCTTGCCGCCGAAAGGTGGCCACCGCGAAAAGGCTCGCTCATTCCACCCATTTAGCTTCTCTTTCCCCATCCTTTCCCTTCCATGACCGGCTCGCCATTCCACAACACCGACCGGCTCGAGCCTCGTCTCCGCGGACTAGACCCACACGTCAAACGGACCCGCCTCGAAGTAGGCCATGCCCTGCAGCGAGATGTCCTGCAAGGTATCCAGGTCTAAGGGCGCCAACCACTCCTCGTAGAGCTGCAAAAAGCAGCCTCGGCGGTGGAAAAACAAGGAGTTAGACCTGACCGTGGCGGCGTGGATCTTTTCTATACCGACCGTTTGTATGACCAAGCCCAGAACAATCAGGTCGTTGACCCGGAGGGAAATTCTGTACTTTAGTGGTTTGTTGAGTGATTCTTGTACAATCCCGTGAGGGGTTCCCCGCCTTTGCCCCTCTATTCGGGTAATTGATTTGATGTCATGGCCAGGAAGTAATGGACCCCCAAGAATTGCAGCAACATGAAGGCTGGCCACAATCTGCACTGCCAACCAAAATAACATGGAATGTCGACTGGACTCTGGACCCTCGTTATATATTATAGAACCTCCAGAGCTCACCACCCCAAGTGCTGAGCAAATCTTCTTACACGCTTCAACTACCTGGTGACAAGTTTCAGCTGGATCTTTTTGGGTCCAAAATGCCCAACTTGAAGCCCTACGAAACTTGGTGTCCTGTCCAAAAGGAGCGTCCTGAGCGTTGTAGAAACGGCCTCCTTTGCCTCGGACAGCTCAGCTCAGCGGCAAATGCTCTCGATGATGCAGCCCAATGGTCCTCACAGCGAAAAGGCGGCCGTCCCAGCTCGGGGACGGCGATCTTCAAAGGACAAATCCAAGATCATCCAGTTGGTCAAGCAATATCAAACATGATCTGAGTGTTTGACCAAAATTGGCCCTGCTTTGACCATCATGTTCTTGAACAATCAGGTTCACAACTAAGGCTGGGCCAGGAAAGAAGACTGCATGTTCTTGAAATAGATGCATGTAGTACATACCCTGGGATTCCAACCAGGAACATTTCATGGCCTCTACCGAACAGCAATTGTTTTACCAATAACTTTACACTACAAAACCATATCAACAAGTTTACAAATTAAGGACTTCTAGGAATATATATATATATATTATAATAGTGTTATACTGTGTTATAAAATCGGCACTTCGATGTTGCCAAGCGTTGCCCCCGCCAGGGAATTTGCATGTCCAGCTTCACAAACGGCTGTCCCTGCCACAGATTCTGACTCCTGACTCCTGACCGTATGCCTGCAACTTGACACAAGTCATCTCATCTGCTCCACAACTCCTATATAACTCATGCAGGCATTATGTTGACAAACCACCAAAATGCGATCCTTTAGGTCCTTTAGGTGCAGTTCGAGCATGCTCACTTATGTCGTGGCTGATGAGTAAGGACTCTGTGTCTTGGTCTATGTCTCCGTTAACTCCTTAGTGACCCATGGCTAGTCGAGTCACTTAAATCACTCAGCCATGACAAAGGGACACCAGGTCTTCTCAACAGTGGTTTGCGACTGTCCACTCTGGTACCTAGGTGGTACCGAGGTGATACGCTTGGGCGTGGACAAACAAACTGACAATTCATACATCATGCCTTAGCCAGGCTCTGTGCACCAAGCAAAGCAAGGAAACAGGGAAACTTTCAATCGAAGTAGGCATCCATATGCTCCGATCTGATGTATGCGTTTCTAGCCTTCATCAATTCAATGCGTGCACTACATGTATGTGATGTTGGCCATTGTATAGACGCGCTCTCCGAAAGTGGACATCTATAACTGCCACAGCTGCTACATCTGCTCTCAACTGTAACTCTCCCCAAAACACCGCTGAATACTAAAAGACAGTTGAACAACACAAAAATAGATAACATTAAAGAAACACAACAATAAAATACATTAAAACATATTAAACACCAAAACATACATCGTCACCCATGGTCCTGAGGAAGCGTCGTCAATCGTCCCCAAGATCAAGTGGGCCGGCCACAGAAACATCGTCAAGAACCCGGCTAAGATCACCGATCCTCGGTTGAAACCGGTTTGTCTCGACGCAGCAGTGGGGCCGAAGCGAGTCCCAAAAGAAGCGGTGGGAGTTCCAAAGATGTACTCCAATGGGGCTGGAAGAGTTACAAACATCTAATAACCCTACTGCAAATTACTATTCCATGATATTCCATACATGGAGTGTCTGAGTGTTCATGTTTTGGACATATTGTGATCACACAGTAAAGCACAAGCTCTTTCGCGGATCTTCGGAGCCCAAAACTCAGGCAGCTGGTTGGCATTTCTGTGCCTTGGACTTGGACTCCAAGGCCTGTTTTCATCATACTCTTCCATGCACACACCCACCAGAACTTACGTGTGTAGTTCATTTATAAATTGATGTATATAGTGTCAGTGCTGTATAAACTTGAGAGGAGGGAGACACGAAAGGTAGGACAGCGGGAAGAGAAGA